AAAAAAAAAAACATTTACAGGCTACATATAATGTATATGCATATAAAAATAATGATGTAAAGAACACAGCTACTTTTATTCCACAGCTTTGGTAAGAATACTTCAGCATAGGAAGACAGCTCGAGAACATTCTTTCTACTTCTGAAGCTCCCCCTGTACCTCTATCTTATTTCACTATTACTCTACATTTTACTGAAAAAAGTAATCTACATCTTAAATTTTGTGTTTAAAATATTCTTGCTTTTCTAATAGCTTTGTTACATATATATATATATATATATAATATATATATAAAATAGCTGTTACTTCTTTTAGTTTGCAAGCTTTATACTTCATAAAATTTACCAATAAATAAAACTTTCCTTTTAATGTTTGCCTTGAGAATTACTCAGTAAAGGTAATGTAGTTTTGTTTTAATCCCCTAGATTTACACCATAGTATAAAACAATATATGGCAACTATTTTAACCTATTCCCAAGGTGATAGGAAACTGGTTTTTTCCACTTTCTTGCTACTATAATTCTTCTAGGTACACTCTCATATACTAATGCAAGAGTACTCCAAATTGCAGGCTTAGAAACTGAACTACTAGGCCATATACCTACTTTGTAAAATTTATTTCATTTTTCAAGAGGTTTAATTTACTCTCACCAGTAATGTTTAATAACGTCTGTTATACCTCTACACATTCACTAACATTTAGCACTGACTTTCAAAATTTTGGACGATATAAAATAGTATCTTCTTATAGTTTTAAAATGTATGCACCTAACTACTGGGATGGTTCAAAATCTTATCATATGGTATTTGGCCATTGCTGTTTTCACTTCTGTTAAATATCTATTTATATAATTTCTTGTACATTGTTTAAGACATCTTTTTCTTAGTGACCTGTAAACTATTCTTTAGATATCATGATAATGCTTTAACTGTAATATGTTATGAAGTATTTTGTTCCAATCTATTGAGTTATTTCTTTGAATTTTTTATCTTTGCATTTATATAATTTAAGCATTTTAATTATTCCAAATGTATCAGTATTTTCCCTTATGGAGTGCAATTTTGTGATACACACACACACACACACATATACATACATGGGGAGCTTCATATCTCTAGTATAATTGGTTAAGTGTGTTATAAAAACCTCCCACACATATTTAAGAAAAAACAGATTGCTGGTATTGTTTAATTGAAAGAAATACTATCAATCCATTTTTGACTCAGCTATTTTTAAAATTTGTTTTATTGTTTACTTGTTTCTCAATGCACAATGTTTTCAATAGTAAATAAGATGTCCAAAATTTAACATTATTAAACATTCAAATAGTAAAATACAAGGTGGAAAAGGCCCTCAACTGGTAAGTACTCTAAACTCTATCTGCCAGAACCAACTGGGATAGCAGCTACTGGGTTTAAAATATCATTGTGGTTTAAGATGAAAATCACTATCCTCTGAACCAGGTAGCAGGAAGGTATCTCAAATGCCAATCAACTCTCTAGCCATTGAGGGCAACACATTCACCTCCCTTTGAAATGGGTGGGAGATTCATAGTGACTCTGAGTATAGCAGTCTGTCCTCTCACCCCAAGCGTAAAAATGATTCTGCTGTTAAGACATTCAAAAGATCTTGTGGTTACCATTAGATTATAAAGACCAGAAACATTCCAGGAGGTGGCCTGTGCCTGCACAGTTCTCTTGACTCAGCTTTTTTTTCCATTGAATTTTTTGGTACTTTTTAAGTATACAGTATAGTTATATTTATCATTGGGATCTTATACCTTTACATGACAGATCCTGGTTCTCATTTTTCCCCCATACCCCAGTTCTCCCTTCTTCCCCCGCACCCCATCCCCTATTTACAAAGACTTTGTTTGACTCAGCTATTTTTAATGGAAAAAGACACTTGGCCCTAAATATCTAAACTTTGATTAAAAATAAGAATTTCAAGGGCTGGGGTTTAGCTCAGTGATGCCGCCACCTGCCTTGCAAGTGCAAGGACCCGAGTTTGATCCCCAGTACCAAAAAAAAAAAAAAAGAAAAAAAAAAAA